TAGGGTAATTCTAGAAATCATGTTCTCCCCTCTGTGTTTGTTGTAGTTGTTACTCCTTTTTTTCTTTTCTTTCTTAGACTAATTCTGCATAGTCTGTTCTTTTTCCATGTGGCCAGGGAAATCTCTACTTTGACAGTTAAGGAATGGAAAGATTTCTAGATGGAACTGATGAGTCTCCCTGTATTGCTGAAGGTCTGTGAGTGTGTTGGCATACTCTCAACATTTGGCAGTTGACAGCTCTGCCTTAGTTGTCAATTTCTGATTGCACAGAGCCTCAAGGGTAGCCCAAGGTAAGAGATCAGAGCCTTGTCAGGTCATCCTTGGATATCTGCACAGCCCTCAGCATGCACACAGGCCTGCCATTACTGTAGCCTCTTGGATTCCCAGGGATGTTGGAACTTTTGAAAGCCCCTCACAGACATCTCATTGTCAGCTTTAATTTTTTTTTTCTTTTTTTGCTCAGCTTCTGAGTAGCTTCAATTAATAACACCATCATAGGCAGGTACAATGTTGAGTTGTTCTCAGCAATGCTCTGGGGATAGGGCTGTTGCTGTTTGCAGAGTCAGATCAGGCAAAGGAAACCAAATGTGAGCTGCCAGAAATTTATGAAGGTTTCCTAAGGATGGAGATCTTGGTGTACTTTAAACCTGTTCTGCCCTTCTAGTGGTGGCTAGGCTGCTGGTTTTCAGCTGTTTTATTGGTACGGCTATTAGTTTTGAAAGCCATCATGGATTTGAGTAAGGGTGCGTGAGATTAGGGAAGTGCAAATGCTACAAAGCTCACTGCTCCAAAATGCAATTATTTTTCTTGAATAAATTCATCTTGGATTGTTGTAACCTTTCATGCTCTGTGTCTAGAAGACTTAAGAAATCACAGGGTTTGTTGTTAGAAGCTAAAAGAGTGAAAGGAGGGTTGGGGTCATGGCTCAGTGGCAGAGTGCTTGCCTAGCATGTGTGAGGCACTGGGTTTGATTCTCAGTACAGCATATAAATAAAGGTCCACCACCAGCTTAAAAAAAAAAAAAAAAATATATATATATATATATATATATATATATATATATATATATATATATATATATATATATATATAAAATAGAGTAAAAGGATGGAGGCAAGAATTGACCTAATTTTCAGGCCATAAATTTAGAAAAATACTTCATATTGGCTTATAGAGGTATAATTATGAAAATTATTTTAATACATATAAAAAAGATTTTAACAATCATTTCCTTTCTTCTTCTTCTTCTTCTTTGTGGTGGTAGTGCTGGGGATTGAACCCAGGGCCTTGTGCATATGTGGGAAACTACTAACTGAGCTATATCCCCAGCCCTTTAATTCCTTTCTAAGACTCAAGTACAAAGGCTGGTTCTCCCACATACTATAATTTGAATAAATGATGTAATTTCTCAGAGCTGGCTTCCTCATTTGTAAAATGGAGATAGTGTTTGACAGCATGGTTGTGGAAAAGGAAGTAAGATAACATAGGTGTGAAAATGCTTTACGATACAGTAAGCGCCTTGCTTAGCACATGCATGAGATTTAAGTTGTGGGGTTATAGAAAAGAATTTTAATTCTTATTTAAATAAGGAGTAGAGTTACAGTATTACCTAGAGCATTTAGCACAGAAATATATATAAAAATAGCAAACACCTTATAAAACTTTCTCTATATAAATTTATGTTGATTTACCTTTTTAAAAAAATATTTTTATTAGCTATTGATGGATCTTTATTAATTTGCTGATATGTGGTGCTGAGACTCGAACCCAGTGCCTCACACATGCTAGGCAAGTGCTCTACCACTGAGCCACAACCCACCCCATGTTAATTTACCTTTTAAAATTTATTTAAATAGTTAAAAAATGAAGACAGTAAAGGGATGTGTCAGAAGTCTACCATCTCTGGCCCTTTCCATCTTGTTTCCTTGTCCTCTTTATGGAGGAAACACTTTTGTTTCCTGCCAATATTCTTATACAAATGTGAAAAAAATATGAATACGCATCCTCTAAGCACTATTATTTGCAGTGCCATTGTGAATTCTGACAGCACGTGGTTAGTCTTCAGTAGCCAAGAAGTAAATGGATCAGTTACACAGCAATCACTAAGCTAGGACTCAAATCTAGGCTTGCCTGCAACTACCTTTGGGCCCGGTGAACTGTGAATTAGGGTAAGTCTTCCAGAAAACTGTGTATAGAGCTGTGTTCTTAAAAATATCTGCTTTTCAGATTGGTGGATCAGACAGTAGCCGACTGACTTCTCGTCTGGGGAACCAGTATGTTAATATCATGAACATGCTTCTTTTCACACTCCCTGGAACTCCCATAACTTACTATGGAGAAGAAATAGGAATGGGAAATATTTTAGCCACAGATCTCAACGAAAACTATGATGCTGTAAGTTTAACACAATTGAATCATGCACCAGAGCATGTCCTTTTGCTAGTCCTAGTCCTTTTGCTAAATCAGAGATTTTACTTTTCTATTCCATTGCAGCAAATCAGTTACTTTGCTTTTCTTTCTTTGTGGTTAGTAAGAATCATGAGCTTTCTTGTTTTGGGAGCTGATTTCTGAGCTGCACATTTAAATTTATTGAGCAGAGTCAAGTAATCTGCATTTTAAAAAAAGATTTCAAAAAAATTATTTTGGTAGCAGGGATTGAACCTAGTGGTGTTTAAACACTAAACTACACCACTCCCTTTTTTATTTTTTGAGATGGGGTCTAATTAAGTCATTTAGGGTCTTACTAAATTGCGAGGCTGGCCTTGATTTTGTAATCCCCCTGCCTTAGCCTCCTGAGTTGCTGATTATCGGTATGCAGCACCACACCTGGCAAGGAATCTGCATTTTAAAGATGTTTTCTAGCTGATTCTTAGACACCAGAATTTGAGACCAGTGGCTTTATTTGGAATATTATTCATTTCCCTTTATCCAAAACATGGAAAGCTAGGAATATTTCTTCAGTTTTTATTTGACCTGCTAGATCTAATAACTGTAGTAGTCTTATATTATCCAGTGTTTAATCCAGAGCCTCACAGTTAGCTTTTCCTTAAGGATAAGGCTCTCATAATTGTGTTGCTGGCTAGATGACCAATACTGAACCTTTAATTTGTATGAGATCCCGTTCCCTAATACTTGGTTAAGGTAAAACATCTTCTCTGTCAGCTTCAGGATTTGATTTTGCTCATGGGCAATAATAAGGCTGGATAAATGAGTTCAGGCTTGCTTGTATCAGACAGTATTCTTGAATTTGCCACAACTTTACCACAGAGAACATAGCATGAATCCATAAGGGCACATTTAAAAATCCCACATTTCTAATTTTTCAGAAAAAGCAGCAAAGATTCTAAGTATGTTAAGGTTTATTTATTATGGTCTATTCAATCTTAAGATACTATTAGATATTTCCCAGCTAAAACTTGTTTATGTATTGAGTGTTAAGGCCTTTTCATTATGATTAATGAACATACACATTAGTTAAGAGCTGTAGGGAAGCAAAATTATTAGGTAAATCAGAAAGTACCAAAGTATCTTTCTTTTAATAACTTGACCATTGCTTTCTCTTCCTGGTCTCTTTAACACAGAACACTCTTCTCTCAAAGTCACCAATGCAGTGGGACAACAGTTCAAATGCTGGTTTTTCTGAAGGCAATCACACCTGGTTACCCACCAATTCAGATTACCATGTTGTGAATGTTGAGGTGAGTATCAGTGAACATTTGTTGATTCTAGAAACAAGAAATGAGTTTTTGTATTGACAACACAGTCAACCTGAGTGTGTCTAAAACCTTAACTGTCAGAGACTTCCCTTGCAGGGTCACAGAAAAACTTTAAAAATAAAGATATAGCAGGCAAATAGTAATAGAAAACAAGCTTACAACTTAGCTGTCAAACAACAAGCTGGGTGCGATGGCACATGTCTATAATCCCAGTGATTCAGGAGGCTGAGGCATGAGGATCCCAAGCTCTGAGGCCAGCCTTAGCAATTTATTGAGGCCCTAGGCAACTTAGTAAGACCCTATTTCAAAATAAAATAAATAAAAAATAAAAAGGGCTGAAGATGTGGCTCAGTGGCTAAGTGCCCCTGGGTTCAATCCCCAGTACCAAACAAAAACAATATATATATACATATATATATATATGAAATATATAAATGTATACTTATATAGCCTAGATAGATATTATTTATATATTTTAAATGTATTATTTAAATAAATACATATTTTTTTTTGAGTACAGGGGATTGAACCCTGGGGTACTTAACCACTGAGCCACATCTCCTGCCCTTTTTTTCTTCTTTCTGATGCTGGGGATTGAACCCAGGGCAAAGCAAGCACTCTACCAATTGAGCTATGTCCTCAGCCCCCCTAGTACTTTTTAAAATATTTTATTTAGAGACAAAGTCTCATTGAGTTGCTCAGGGCCTAGCTAAGTTGCTGAGGCTGGCTTTGAACTTGTGATCCTCCTGCCTCAGCCTCATGAGCTGCTGGGATTATGTTCAGCCAAAAATGTATTTTTTAACCTAATCTTTCTATTCTTAGGTATTTGTGCCTCATTTGCACACGTGCAAAATGAGAAATATATAAGGATCTTGAATGAAGCATTGTTTGTAATAGCAGAATACTCTAGAATGATTTAAATATTTTATCAATAGAAAACCAGTTTAATCAATTATGGGACTAGTATGTAGCTTTTAAAATGAGAATATGAGAATAGTTGCAGTGATCTGAGACCGTTTCTAATATGTATTAAATAGTATAGAAAGTAACATGCCACCAGTTATGTAAAGAAAAAAATGTCAACCTATGATTGCATAGGCACAGAATTATTTCATATGATACATTAAAAATGAAAGACTACAAACAGTTAATAATGTCTGGGAGGGAAGCTTGGAAGCTAGGCAATAATGGAAGAAAACCTTTTCATTGTATACATTGGTCTTGTACTTGAGTTTTATACTGTGTGCATGCATTTCTCTAGTCAAAAAATGAAGATATGAAAAGCAGGTTTGGAAATATTTAATAGCAGACAAAATAGAATTCAATATGAAAAGCATTATGAGACAAAGGCAATCAATTTCCAAAAATTGAAAAACAATAACAGTCCACTAAAAATTATGAATCTTTATGTAACAGTAGCTTCAAAATATATAAAACAAATACTCTGAGAAATGCAAAGAGAAAATTGACAAATCCATAATTACAGAAAGAGATTTCAAATTAGATAAAAATAGTAGCTGACACTGAGCACTTCTTATGTGAGCGGCACTGAACTATGCTTTTCATGCATTACCTACACCTACAGAAAATGTTAGTAATAACTTTGACAAGTCATATACATGTACCATAAATACTTTTGTACCTGATAAACAAAGAATACACTTTTTTCCCCAAAACACCCATGAGATATTAATTTAAGACACATAATAAGCACCCACCCCTAAACAACAATAACAACGGTAACCACCACCACCCCAGAAAACATGGCTGGCAACAGTACAATGAAATGAACATTGTTGATTTGGCAACAGCTCTTATGAAGAATAATTTGGCATTATGTATTGGATGTCCATACTCTTTGACATAGTAATTATCTTCTGGTAATCTATCCTAAATAAATATTCCTAAAAGTTGGGAGAGGGGAGTGAAATTATAAGAAAATATTGGAAATGCAAATATTAAAATGATATTATGGAGGTTATATAATGATAGGAAAATGCTTAAAATGTTAAATGGGAAAAAAGCAAGAAAAGTACATTGAATTATATATGTTTTATATAGTTGTAACATAAACCTAAATCTTTAATAGACTTATACTGCCTTTTACTGTTAAAAAAAAAATTTACATTAGTTAACTTTCAGTTTAGGCAGATTTATGTGTGTGTGAATGTGTAATTTTCTGTTCTATCATTAGTTATGCAAGAACCACATCTGCTGAAGTTACAATGATCTCTGCACAGTAGCAACTTATGTGATCCCACAAGAGAGGATAAGTAAGCCCTAATTCATCAAAAGTTCTAAATCCATTGCCTTAATGGCTTTTTTTCTCTCCCAGGCGTTTGGCAGTTATAATACAGATAGAGTAACTTCATTTAGGCAAGTTCAGTATCATTAACTTAGACATGGACATTTGTTCGGAAATCTTGAGTGGAGTCAAAGTGTTTCTGCAACAGTTTTAAGATGGAGCACAGCAGCAGCTCCCAGTTAAGCTCAAAACCTGAATTTTGTAACTTTGATTGGCTTTTATATAAACTATTCTTATGTACTTATTAATGCTTATAATTTGGCAGTTATTTTAAGGGAAAAATAAAGTAAGTTTTGGGGGAAATAATTCCTTTAGATAATAAAATATTTTTAAAAATTCTTGTAATCAACCATTTATGTAAGTGTTCTTTTTAAAAAATAGGTCCAAAAGACTCAGCCCAGTTCAGCCTTGAAATTATATCAAGAATTAAGTCTACTCCATTCCAATGAGTTGCTCTTCAGCAGGGGCTGGTTTTGCCTTTTGAGGAATGACAGTCACTCTGTTGTGTACACAAGAGAGCTGGATGGCATAGACAAAGTCTTTATTGTGGTTCTGAATTTCGGAGAATCAACACAGCTAAATCTACAGGAAATGATTTCAGGTCTTCCTACAAGACTGAGAATAAAATTAAGTACCAATTCTACCTCCAAAGGCAGTGAAGTTGAAACACATGGCGTTTTTCTGGAGAAGGGAGATGGAGTCATCCTGGAACACAACACGAAGAACCTCTTTCATCACCAAACTGCTTTCAGAGATAAATGCTTTGTTTCCAATCGAGCATGCTATTCTAGTGTGTTAAACATATTGTACAGCTTATGTTAGGAACTTCTATGAAAGAGATGGGGACACTGGTATTTGGTTGTGTTGTAACTTCATGTATAGCATGCTGCTGGGTAAACTTCATCTAATTCTTAAGATATTTCGGTAGCTTGAATGTAACTATTTTAGGAAAGGTTCTCAAATGTTTGAAATAATAATAAAATGTTTAAAAGAAGATTGTTGTTGTAGAAACTTTTAACTTTGAGATAACACTGATAAGCAATGATTAGAACACTGTCAATCCTAAGATTATTTGAAAGCTCTAAAGCATTTAAATGACAAAAATGTTTAGCTTTTTTATTAAAATGTATTCAAAGAAACTAGAAGAAAGATTCAATGTCCTAATGTCTATAAATATTCACTAACAAAGAGGAAGGACATCGATTTGTAAACTGTTCAAAGAAAATCCTAGTAAAACAGATAAGAACAAAGTACTGATTGGAAGGGAGGCCTGGGATTCTACAGCCTCCACTCTTTTCCTCATTCTTTTTAGAAGTGGTTGGACACAATACCTTTATTTAATTTATTTATTATTTTTATGTGGTGCTGAGGATGGAACCCAGGGCCTCACATGTGCTAGATGAGTGTTCTACCGCTGAGCCACAACCCCAGCCCCTTCCTCATTCTTTTCTCCATGTCTTTTTAAGGAACATGGTTTAAAAACTGCTTTCCCTATGCTAACAGGCATGTACACCAGTGGAAGAGAACAGTATAGCAACTGTAATACAGACTTCGCAAAATCTGGATGGAGAAGCAACTTTAAAAAAATCACCTAGTAACTTAAAATCTCACTTTTGCTAATAACCCAATTTGGAAATAAGACTATGAAATATTTCAGTGTGTTTCCAATTCCCCGTTGAATGTAACATTTCAGAATTTCAGGTATTTCTTAAGATCCTCGAAAACACTGGTGCTGTCAAGTCCAAGTTCCTCATATAGGAATTTAATCTGGGCTGTAATCTAAAAGAAACACATTTTAATATTAGATAGAAGGATTTTGTGGTAAAATTCCAGTGTTGTGATTCTTTCTTGGTTTATCCATCTTCACCTAACCCTCAAGCCAGCAATTTATGGCAGGAATACTTCTATTTGGGATGGAGACAGAGGCTTCCAATGATCAGGATTCAATTACTTTCTTTAACAGAGCTCCTTCATCAAGTACAGGAGAGAACCTTTTCTCTTGCTTGACTCAGTGACCCATCCTCCCCCTCCTGGGTCTCAGCTAGACCTGACACTTGTGAAGTAGCTCTGTCATAAACCCTGTTATAACCACTGAAAACTTTGAATATATACTTCTCTGTGGCTAACTGAGAAGGGCTATAGAACATACCTTTTTGTGAGAATCTTCAATCACATGATTTCCTCCAGGCTGAATATCTAAAATAATATTGGGGGCCTGATAGCCTGAAAGAGTTAACACATCAAACAATTAGGAAGCCTTTAGAAGATTGAGACACATTTCTTTCTTTCTTTCTTTTTTTTTTGTACCAGGGATTGAACCCAGGGGTGCTTAACTGCTGAGCCATATCCCCAGCCCTTTTGTCTATTTTATTTAGATCCAGGGTCTTACTGGGTTGCTGAGGGCCTCACTAAGTTTCTGAGGCTGGCTTTGAAGTCACGATCCCCCTGTCCCAGCCTCCCAAGCCACTGGGTTTACAGACTGGTGAGACCCATTTCTTCTCTTTTAAGTACTTTATTCAAATAATAGCAAAGGAATAAGGGCAAAACTACCATAATCACCACCAAAGAGAGGGGAGGGGCAAGCAGCAGAAGACAAGTTTCTGAATTAGGGCAAGTGGGAAGAGACCCAGTGGCTAAGATAGCTGGATGGAGGGGCCGTGGCACCATATGGAGAAAGATGTGACTGAGGAGGGAGTCAGCAGCTCTGTGAAATGGAGAGATACTGACTTATAGGTAGGTTCCCTTGGCATGTCTTGGCATGCAATTTCAAGGCAAAAAGGAAAAGTTCTTATTTAATAAAAATGAAAAGAACATCTAGAAGAAACTAAACAGCTAGTTTGGGCACTGAAGCTCCAAAGCAAAACTCTCAGAATCTTTCACAGATTCCCAAGAATAATATCTCAATGGATATCTTTAAATGAATAAATAATTGCATGAGAGTACATTTCTAAGTTTACAGTTGATATTTAAATTTACTTTTTCTTTTTGTCCTTTGAAAAGAGGTGAGACTATTATATACACTTTAGCTGTGTAGTCAACAGAAAAAAATGATTTGTCCTCAATCATGGTCTGATGATTTGGTCTGAAGCTTGAGATGTACTCTGTATGCTAAGGGTTCTAGTCCATCTAGCCACATTCCCTAGGTCCTGGAGTCTCCTACCTTCACCTGTGTCCTTAGTATGCTCCATGACGGCTTCCTTCAGTTTCTCAGTATAGTTAACAATTCCTTTCAGAGGTACACGTTCATCGTTTTCATAAGCTGTGATGTGAATCGAAGGATAATGCTAAAAGAAAATACACGTATGAAGAGTTCACATTACTCCTATGGTCTCTTCCATTAGATCATGAAAAAATAATTGCCTCCAATTTTTTCCCAAGTGTTAGAGGTTTTTTCTCATTTAATATTCTTGAGCGAGCCTATTTGTTACCTAACTTATTTTTGTCTGAAGAGATCATAACTTCATCTCATCTAGTAATTAAGGTATAATAATTATTTTCCTGAAGTATTAAACTGAAAAGACGGAGCATGAACACAATGGTGCTGAAAGATGTTTGGGTATCACAGTGGAGACATCTCTAAAACCCCTGCCTACTCCTGCCTCATCACAGGTAAGCACCCCTTTACTTTCTCTATTACGTCAGGACAGTATATGGCAACCACATTTTTCCTACCTGAGGTTTAATATTTTGATAGGGGCAGTAACGTTTTATGTAGTTCTTGTGCTTTTCATCAGATGAAGGATTCCCCCACTCTTCTAGTTCTTCTAATGTCAGAGGGAGTGTAGTGTCCATCATAGTATTGAGAACATCCAAGAAAGGTGCCTAATAAAAAAAGCCAAAGAAACTTCTTTTTCATCTAAGGAGTTGGCAATGTAAGTTTCAGAAAAATGTTACTTTAAAAATATGCATACTGACACAAGAGAATATATCTCAAGAAGCCATGTGGATTCCCAGAAAATCTGGAAAATATCCAAGGTAAGAGAAAACGACCACTGACTCCTTAGTTTACATGCTTTTCAGCTTTTTCTCTTATTACCAGTCACCACAGCTAGTGGGCTCATCTCTAATTCCTGTTGGCTGCTGAGTCTCTGAATGCTTTTCCTGCATTTGGAAAAATGCCAACCTTATTGGACACAACCTGTCTGTCACTGTAGAGATATTAGATGTATCTCTTTCTTTTTCCCTGAAGCTTAAGAGTAGCAAATTACATAGGTGTCACAGACATGTGCTCCAGACTCTGGAAAGTCCATGATTTAAAGAAGTGCTGATCACGGTGAATTTCTTTGCAAAACTGTGACATTGTCTCCAGTTTGTAGAAGCTGCACTGTTAGCGGGAGGTGATTTGTGCTTGGCAGTGGCAATAGTGGCAACTCTGTTGGGCAGTTCTGTATCTGCCTGGCAGCCTCTGACATTGGTTCTGAACACACATACTCTGACCTAACACCATTTGATAAAACCCCTTTCTGCTTGAATCAGAGTTTTTGGTGCTTGTTATTAAGAACTTTGACTCATACATGAATCCTCCACTGTTGGATGTTTTAGGCTATCTCTAATTCTTCACTAGGATAAGCAACCTGGGATAAATCCCTATACACATATATTTCTGATGGTGTCCTTTCTAATATCTAAAAATAAAGGTTAGTACCATTTTCTTTATATTGTAAATGATTCTGCTATTACTATCTTTGGGGATAGCCCCTTGCCCCCATAATTTAGTGTAGCTGTGTATTTTTTAAACAGATTTATAGGGGCTGGGAGTATAGCTCAGTTGCAAAGCACTTGTCTAATGTGCACGTGGCCCTGGGTTTTATCCCCAGCAATGCCAAAAAGAAAAAAAGAAAGAACTTTTAAAATAGATTCATGGATTAGGGCTATTTAAAATTTATTTATTTACAATAAGCCCACACTGTATACCCTTCGCTCTCAATACAACACTGAAAAACCCTGAAAATAATTTAGTTTCACCATTCCAGTCATTATTTTCCAGAGTAACTAGGAAACAGGAGAATGATAGAGGTAAAATCAAATAGCTATAATATAGCTTAATAATTCTGAACATTAAGACAGCAGAGCATTTTTAGAACAGAGTATTTCAACTAAAGTACAGGAAAACTATACCTCAAAGACCATTAAGAATGTAGTATTTAAAAATAGCCCTTAAAATCAGTACTAAAATGTTGATGGGCAGTGTGTTGAACTGACTAGTATGAGTCACAGGGTACACAGCATTTGGTCACAGATACCCCACCCCCTTGTGGAACTGTGAGGCACAGATGCTTCATCTTTTCCCCACCAATTCTAAATACTCACACAAAGAGAAAATGATCAATGGGAATAGCCATTAACCTTTTAGTGGAATCCTTACAAATTCGTAAAGAACACTGTCAGAGAATAATATGTACAGAGTAAATACTGTGATTAAAATTATTTTAGAAGTTTTCCTAGATCTACAATTTTGTTTAAACTGAAAAGCTTTGTTACATTCTGAGGCTGTGGTAAAACCATAACAGAATTTTTTTTTTTTTCTTTCTGAGTCTATGACTCAGGCCTCCATTTTGTAAGCAGAGTGTACTTACCTCCAAAGTCACAGCTCTCAGGATCTCTGGACTAGAATTACACAATGCTCCCACAAGCACCCCTCCAGCACTGAAAGCAGTCAGGGTTGTTAGACTTGGCTGAGAAAAGCCTTGGCCATGAAGCGTCTTAATGCAAGCCTCTAAGTCAGCAAGGCCATTGAGTTTTTTAGTTAGTCGGCCGTCAGCATGCCACTGGAGGCCCAACTCACCACCACCCCTGAAATTAAAGGGCGAAAAAAATTTTAGTAGAAAAAAAATGATACAGATGTAGGTAGAGGTCAGCAAATTATGATTCGAAGCCCGTTTTTATTTATTTTTTTTTAATGGATCTCCAGCTAAGAACTGTTTCTACATTTTTAAAGGCTAGGGAGAAAATAAGTAGGAGGATGTAACAGAGATAGTGTGCAGCCTGTGAGGCCTAAAATGTTTACTATGCAGTTTTTTTTGGTGTGTGTGGTTTTGGGGATCAAGTGGAGGAACCCGGTTATCCTCTAACACTGAGCTATGTTCCCATGTCACTATCTAGTTCTTCAGAGAAAAAACTTAATAACCTCTAACATGGACAACAAAAGACTGATCCAATAAATAAGTTTTGAGTGCCTGTCTACTACTTATCAGAGGTTGTCTAAGTGCCTGCCAACCTTATAAACAAGAAAACATTCCCACGGAGATCAAATTTTGTGAAGAAAAAGTTACTATAAGCATTGTGGTCACTGCTGTAACAGTGTACTTAGGTATCACAGAGCAGAGGAAAGAACATTCCACCCTTCACATTAGGAGTAATGTGAAAGAAGAATATGAGTTTTTAGAAAGGCCTCAAGACAGAAAAGATACAACATGTAGAAGGGCAAGGAGGTGGCAGAGCATGTAATTTGAAAGGACATGATAGATGCCGCTAGAGATAAGCCAAATCATTGACAGCATTAAACTGAGGAATCTGGATGTTGTTCTGGAGATGAAGTGGGAAGGACTTTTAGCAGAAAAAAAATTATATTTGTGTTATATGGTGGTATATGCCTGTAATCCTACTGATTCAGGAGGCTAAAGCAGGAGCATCACAAGCTCAAAGTCAGTCGCAGCATCTAGTGAGGCCTTAATCAATTTGATGAGACCTTCTCTAAATAGATAAATAGGGATGGGGATATGGCTCAGTGGTTAAGTGTCCCTGGGTTTAATCCTTGGTACCAAATTACATATATATACACACACACATACATACATACATACATGTAATATATTTTTGTCTTGAATACAACTAAAATAAAATGGAAGTTAGATTGGAAAAGTCTGGTATACAAGGCTGTTTAAAAAAAACCTAAACTCCAGGAAATCAGATGGAAATAATAATGTAACCATGTACAGAGACTGATACATATATTCAAGAATCTCCAAAGCCTATCCTTTTGCTCTTTGGTTCATATAATCTGTTACTGAATCAAATTCTACGGAGCACAGGATTTAGGAGTATATATAACACTAACACTACAAAAGAGAAAGTTTTTGCTCCCCAATATATTGTTATTTTAGATATGTTACCACGTTTTGGAACTCTCATGCTAGGTGTGCTGACTTACCTAACATGGCAATATGCTAATATCCATCCATCATCTACCAAGACCCTCCTCTCAGGTCTGAAATTCATTTTCAAATCCATTCCATAAGCTCCATATACATGTACCAGGAGAGGTTTCTTCTGTAAATCCTCAGAGTCCGTTTTGTGGAAAATAGTCATTGGCACTAATTTTCCATCCTGGAAATAAAGAATAACTATATATGTAAAGAAGTGACTTTTAAAGCAGTGTTACCCCTACTTTAAAATAAGCTGAAATGTACTTTCACTCCCTTATGTGCTATTTATTGGTGTTGAATATAAAATTTATTTAAAATAAGAGGAGTTATGATCTCTAAAAATATATCACAGTTCTTGGTTTCAGTAGCCTGACCTACTGTATTAACTTTAGAAAAGAACAGCAAGACTGGTTTGAAAACCTTTTATTAAACACAGCTTTCTATAACAGTGAAGTGACTTTTTAAAAGCGTTCTTTATTACTTAATATTACTGTAATTTCTTTCTTTCAGAGCAAGCCAAAATACCTATTAAGTTTGGAAATCCTAGTACAAAATTCTTCCTATGCCTAAGGAATTTCTCATCTTTGCATATTTACAAATAAGGTGACCAAAAGTCTTTATCATTTTCCCATCCTCTATGAGCAAAATTCTAAACCATTAGAACTGACACTATTGACAGCCACTCACATCTTCTTCAAATCCCTATTTATCTTTATTAAAAAAAAATTTAAGGGCTTAAAGTAAATTTCATAAAATTTAACAGTTAAGTAGCTTTTAGATCATCTAATATTCCCCTATGTAGCTTAAACTCATCAACCCCAGATGACCATAACCCTTTGGGCAGAAATAATGCAAATAATGGAACTACTTTTGATCTTCCTCATAAAAAAGGATGGAGAAGGGCTGGGGCTGTAGCTCAGTGGTAGAGTGCTTGCCTAGCACCTGTGAGGCACTGGGTTTGATCCTCAGCAACACATAAAATAAAATAAAGGTGTAAAATAAAGGAATAGATATAATAACTGCCCTATTGAAGTGTGCAGTACTTTATTTGATAAGCTAATATAATCACAGAAGAAAAATGCAAAAAAAATATTAATAGAAAAGCATGAATTTCCATATGGAAAATAATACAACCAAGTCACTTACCCTATTTTTTTCATCTTCATTTTGAAAACTTCAATGTAGGGCAATAAGTAGAGTGTCATCAGATTGGCAGGAAATCTCATTCTTTTCACACTACTATTCGCTTGTGACAGCCCAAGTGAATTTTCACTCTTCAGTAAGATTCATTCTTATAAATCTTTTTTTTGGGGGGGGGGCGGGGATTGAACTCAGGGCACTTAATCACTGAGCCACATTCTCAGCCCTTTTTTGTATTTCATTTTAGAGGCAAGGTCTAACTGAGATGCTTAGCGCCTTGTTGCCAAGGCTGGATTTGAACTCTCAATCCTCCTGCCTCAGCCTCTGAAGCTGCTGAGATTACAGGTGTGTCACCATGCTTGGCTGTATTATAAATCTTGATATAGACTAATTTATTAAAAAAAAAAAATCTTGGTCTTTCCATCCCTCTGCCTTTTCCACAACTTCAATTATATAATCAGAAAAAATTGCTGATTGAGAACTTGTGAAAAGGAAGAGATAAAAATAGTAGGTAGTCCCTGTCATGGGCTGGATCCCAGAATTGATCAGCAGCACATGAAATGCCCGTGGAAAGGAATGGCACCTTCCATTTAGCACTGCTTCTCCCCTAATGCCTGAAGAAACCCTTGACTCTACAAGAACTTAGGTTAACTGTTCTTTCCATTTGGGGTAATTAACAACATTTTGGCAGACTGCTATAATCTCATATTTGTAAAACTAAACAAAACCTAAAAGTATTTATCTTGATGACACACAAACCAACCAAAAAACAACTGAAGGCATTTAACTAAATGGTTAACAACAATTTTTTCTAAGAAATGCAGCAAATAGGACTGAAAAGTAGTAATGTAAACACTGTACATTCTGTATTTTGCATTTATTCTAACAATATTTTGCTTTTGCAATTTGAAAATAAGATTAATATTTGCTTAAAATATTAAAAGAAAACAATGGATTAAAGAAAAAAATTCATAAGGAAAAAAGGTCTGTTACAATTTCTTTGTTAGAATACATGAAATTACTTGAAATATGATATGCTAAGGTCTGAAAATTCCTTAAATTCAAAGTTAGTTTATTATTTGCATCAATTTGTAAATTCTGTATTTTGCCTATACCTTGAATATGGATTTGTTATTTCCTTTTTTCCCTCTTGTAGTATTATGGATAGAACCCAGGGCATTCCATTAGTGAGCTACTTCTCCAGCCTTTATAATGTGAAGCATTATATTGCTAAGGTTGGCCTCAAATTTGCAGTCCTCTAGCTTTAGCCCGAGTAGCTGGGATTATAGGAGTGTGTTGCCCTGCTTCTTATTTCCTTTTAAATTTCTTCTCTCTCTCTAATGCTGTCCTTAGTAATCTTTTCTCCTCTATTTTGGCTTTTCTATCCTCCTTTATACTTCTTTTTGTGTGTGGTACTGGGGATTAAACCCAGGAAGTGCTATGCCATAGATCTATATCTCCAATTCTTTTTATGTTTTATTTTGAGACAGAGTCTTGCTGACTTGCTCAGGTTGGCCTTGAACTTGTGATTCTCCTGCCTCGGCCTCCCTAGTAGCTGCGATTACAGGTATGTATCACAATATCCAGTCTACACTTCTTTCGTTTTTTTTTTTACACTTCTTGAATTGTATCATTTCTCCACACACTCTGCGCTTTACAGAAAATGAGATCGTTTGCCCCTTTCTAGCTTACTTAGTCATCCTAGAAGTCTTATCTGGGACAATATTCCTCAGAGAAGGCTTTCCTGATCTCTGCAAACTAGCTAATCGCCCTTAGCTATAAGATTTCACTGCATTCAGTACATCTTCCTTTGCAGCAATCAGTATTATTAGTAATTATTTATTCAACCTCTGGCATCTTCCTTGTTAGATTTAAGTTCCATGAAATGCCCATGGAAAGGAATGGCACCTTCCATTTAGCACTGTTTCTCCCCTAGCAGCAACTATATTTGTCTAGTTCACCCCAGTCAGCTGCTACCATACCTTCATAATTAATGCCATAACTGCAAACCAGCCTTATTTACTTAAAGTTTTCTTTAACTCAACTTTTTAAATTCAAACAAAAACAACACTTGAGATAAAGGGTTTAACATGCTACCAATAAATTTTTTAATTCATGTTAAAATGAAGACATGAGCATTAAAGTTAAAAAACAATCTATGTATTCCCTAAAATCATTTGAGCCTTACTGTGGTTGAAAAGATCAATTGGTATTGATGTAATTCCAGAAACTGCACAGTATGCTTTTAATAAAGAGGAGCTGAAAGTTGATTCTAAAAGACCTACCTTGCTTTTGGCTTCTAGACGTAAAACACGACTAGTTTTTGTAATTGGGTCCTCATGCCCAGTTTCCTCAAATAGTTTGCCTTCTGCAAACTTATATGTGTAATATTTTGGGGGTCTTATTGGAGAGCAGAGTTGAAAGGGGCAGTTCTTTGGGTCAGAATTTGTATCCATGATGAATCCACAGGCCCAAGGAGGGAGCTAAAGGAATAAAACAGTTATTTTCACTCTATTTCTATACTAAGTATCACTAATTAAGTTTCTGAGTCAGCCTCAAACAAGATGATGTGGACATCTAATTTACTTTCTGTCACCACAAGTTTCATTTAAGAATTACATCACCACAACAAAATATGTTTCAAGTAAAAATCAAAACTCTATATTAATGACCAATAAAATAAGGAAAAAATTATAGGAAAGGTTTATATATGATTCTAGATTTACGAGAAATCTCCTTTAACACAGAAGTTTATTTGAGGATGTAAAATTGGGCAGTAAAATAGCAGAATGATTAAGAATTAAGAGCAAATGAAACAGTAATTCCAGAACCCAGCAATAGCCATTCTCACAAACACAAAATCCCTCACAGGTGTGTTTTGCATAATTTTCCACCAGTCCTTAGCCTGCTGCCTGGACAGCCCAGCAATGACAGTTATTATTCCAGGGCTACAAACGGGCTCAGCAGCACTAAAGCATTTACAATTTGTTTCTAACTTTAGCTTCCAGGCTAACCATTGTGCAGAACAAAACCCTTCCACGCACATCTACTCTGAGAGACTCACAGCTATTATGCTTAAGATTCTTAACTTTAAGAAAAAAGGAAAGGAATCAAAATTTATTCTCTTGGATCAGCAGGGTCCAGCTTCAAGCCTTCCACTAACATTCCACTTACACCTTTTAAAGAACTCTGGTAAGCAGGTTGACGGAGTGTTAGAAAAGGTACTAAGAGTCAGAACGTTAAAAGAAAATTGCCTTTCTTTTCCTGAGTAATTGTAGAAAGAGCAAATTCCTTAGAAAATCAGAGGTCTTGGCACAGCAACATCATTGGCAGGCATTACTGAAAAAGGGTAGATGGGGGATGTGTGAATAAAAAGCACACTATTTAACCTGCAGAATCTATACATGAAGAATTTATGTTCACCAAGCAAATTTCTTTTAATTAATCCAAAGAATCTATTTGTGAAACACTACTAAGTACATGCATTTGCAATGTCTAAAAGTTCCTGACTTATCCTCTAAGATTGAGGATTACAGAAAAAAGCAATACTGCAAATGTCATGACCAGGCATCAGAGTGACGGTACAGGGTTCCTTAGTCCACAGAAAAACAAGGTTTTCTGTTTCTGGTGGGACTTTAGGACCATTTCCATATGATGCGTGTATTAAGCTGTCTCAGTTTTAAACTAACTGGCACCAAGATTATAATTCTAATCATGACCAAAACTGCTCCAATGGACTTTATAAAGTTTGACCAGATAATACAAAAGTAAGTTTTAACTATCACTAGCCTACTGAGATAAGCCTGCAGTGAATCTGTTTATATTAATAGACAGCACCCAAATATATATTGGCCAGGTGATAGGCAGACATTCCATATATATTTGACAGAAACAAGTTTGTTTCTAGCACTCTGACAGCATTTAATTCAAAGAATTCTTCAGACATAACATGCTGAAAGAAAATAGTAGGTAGTCCCTGTCATGGGCTGGATCCCAGAATTGATCAGCAGCACATGAAATGCCCGTGGAAAGGAATGGCACCTTCCATTTAGCACTGCTCTTTTTCCAAACAAAACTGATGTTAGTACAATATAAAAAAAATTCCCAATTTATTTAAATTATATATACCAACTGCCTAATATAACTTCTTTTTGTGGAAAAAAAATGCAACCAGAAAACACTGGTAATATAACAAACAAGTCAGAAAGCAATATAAGATGGGTTTACATTTCCATTCAGTGGCAGAAACATAGGGCACATAACCACTGCCTTACTAAGGATGTGGGACTTGGGAGCAGAAGTCAGTGGCTGGACACTGAGTTATTGCTATACTTACAGTTGTGAAGATATCATATAGAAATGTGGAGAAAGAGAAATATAATGACACTTAACTACTCCTGAAGACCATACTGATAGGCAGTATTTTAAGTAAAACTGCATTAAAAGCATGGTCCTCCAAATAATTCTAAAATAAACCTGATAAATATCCAGTATACAGAATTACTTTTAAGAAAAAGGACACAGAAGATGGAAGGAGAACTTCATTGTTATACAGAATACATGTATGATGTTGTAATGAGAAAAAAAAAGTGTGTCACATTAGATTGGATAGAGAGAAAGGATGGGAGAGGAGGGGAGGAGTAGGGAGGATAGGAAGGGCAGCAGAATAGAATAGACAATTTGATTGATGTATGTACATTCCATGTATGTATTATATGTCAAAATGCATTCTACTGTCATGCATGACTAAAAAAATAAATATATAAAAATTAAAAAAAAAAAACAAAAAGGAAAAAAAAAAGAAAAAGGACATGATATTATTTAAAATCTGATAATCTGTTAAGCTAAACATATATGTATTTTGGTTAACACTACTGTCTTTTGAAAATAAGACATACCTTCAGAGATCGCACTGAATCATCAGCCAGACCAATCACATTAACATAAAGCAGATTGCTGTGTTTCAAGAATAGAACACAGTGATCCTTAAACATGTCCAAGTCTACAACTTTTGTATTTCTCTTCATTGTGAAAAACAAATCCCAATTCATAATAGCAGGGGTATCAGCTGCTGTTCTCATTAGCTGTGTGGAACAAGAAAAAAACCTAGGTAATAAAACATGAAGGATACAGCATCCAAAGATGAAAGCTAGACCATACCAGTTGTCACTATTTTATGAAAAGCAGAAGAAATTAGCTCTGCATCAGGAACGAAGTGTGAACTTCACCCTGGGAATAAGACCAGGCCAGCCTGCTGGGTGGTGAGACCTAGTGCATATGGCAGTGCTTAGCTGACAGCCAAGAGGCAGACATTTAGGTAAGGGCACCGACAAACCAGTGGATTATGGATGCGTCGGTGAGTCTAGTGGAGCACAATCCCAACGGCCAACTCGAAAATCTTGAGTTTATAAATTTGCTCTTTTAAGCCACTTAGGTTTAGCTTTGATAACATAATCAGTGTAGAATTGTTTCACTTACTAACCTTTTGGGATCAATTAAAATATATAGAGGCACTGATGCTAAGGGAATAGAAATGGGATTGGTTATGTATAGGGAGGCAGCATCAATTTCTAAACTTTTGTAACAAGTCAACAAAACAATCATATAACTCTTACAGCAAGAACTGTTGAGGGAGGTGCCACACTTAACAGTCCGAGAGGAGACAAGTCAGAATCTAGAATTACCTTGAATTCTGTAGGCTCTCCAACATTAGTGAGAATGTACAATTCATCATCTCTGTGTTCAACATAGTAAAGGACCCCATGTATTCGCTTCTGGATAAGTACTGGTGGGTCCCAAGGGCTCAGGCCATCTATCAACCACACTTCGGAAGTGGTCTTGTTCATAATATTTATGGTAAGGAAACGACTATCTTTTGTAAGATAAAGGAAAACAAAATAGCTAGAGAGAGAGAGAGAGAGAGAGAGAGAGAGAGAGAGAGAGAGAAAGAGAGAGGAGAGAGCTCAGTAAATTTCAAATGGGTGCTACCTTACTATTTCATATACATGTTAATTATTTATTTATGATTTATATATTTTTTTAGATGAACATAAGCCCTTTATTATATTTTTTCCTGTGGTGCTGAGGATTGAACCCAGTGGCTCACACATGCTAGGAAAGCATTCTACCACTGAGCTACAACCCCAGTCTTATACGTTATTTGTAATGCAGATAGAAAGATTTTCTAATTCCTTAGTGAATACTTATTGCAAATTTAAAAATTGGTTATTATTTTTCACATTCTCCTCCCAAAGTCATTTAAAATTATTTTTTTTATCATAAATGTTTTTCAAACAGAGAAGTTGCTAAAAGAACTGTAGAGAAAATACCCATTGCTAACATTTTCCTTTATCACCTTTCTATGTATTCATTAATCCATCTTTATTTGGATGCATGGTAAGGCAAACTATATACTTCATCTTTCAATGACATTAATAGATTCTAGGGCTTTCTGCTGAGAAAAGGAAATAAACTTTCTAGAGGAGATATGAAATAGGGAAGAAAAGAGACAGAATGTATCCTTATTTTGTATTTTCTCTGTATCTTAGATTTCTTTTTTTTACTGTTCTTCTAATTTTTATAACATAATAAAACATTAAGAAGAAAAATCCTCACAAACTCACTAAGATAATACATTTAAAAACTTAATGGAACTTATGTTTTCCATTTTTCCTTTTAAGGTTTATTTATATTTCATGGATGTCTTTAAACAGATAAAATTATACTACAGATGTAAGTTTTGATTCTGCATTTATTTCATATAATGTTGCTACTTCCCCCTACATTTAAATATTTATGATTACTATTATTAATGTCTAATATTCTATCAGGTTGAATCTTAAAATTTAGATTTTAATGTTTCATTGTAAGAAAGAATATTCATGAATATCCTTTCCTCTTCTCTGACATTTACAATTATTTTCTTAGTATCCCTTTTTAGGAACTGAAATACTAATTTAATGATGAGTATTTTTATGATTTATAAATATACCCAAAATTAAGGGCATTATACTATTTCATACTGGTACACTAGATGGCTTTAAATGTTATGTTTACATTTTTCTTATTATAAAAACAGTCTAGGTCTAGGGTTGTGGCTCAGTGGTAGAGAGCTCGCCTAACACATGTGAGGCCCTGGGTTTGATCCTCAGAACCACATATACAATAAAAAAAAGGTATTGTGTCCACCTACAATTAAAAAAAAAAAAAAAAAATATATATATATATATGTATATATATATATATATATATATATATATATATATATACACATACACATACGTATTAAAAAAAGCAGTCTATACTGAAATATTGAAAAAGGTAAAGGACAATGATAATTCTGAAGCCCACTCCAGAAATAAGCCCTATTTATATTTTGGTAAAATTTCTTCTGTATTTCATGTTTTGGTCAACCGTATTTCTTTTGTGCAATGTCTGTGTCCACATTAAATTTGAGATGTAGTTTAAATTCTTGGTAGGTAGGGCTGGGGATATAACTCAGTTGGTAGAGTGCTTGCCTCACATGCACGAGGCCCTGGTTCAATCCCTAGCACCACACACACACACACACACACACACACACAATTGGTAAGTAAACACATACCAATATGTATATAAATTTATCCTCATAAATTAAGAATAGTAACATATTTTTGATAAAAATACTTTCCTCCATTTTGTTGTCTAGATTTTTTAAATTACGGCATTTAATATTTTAGGTAGGCAAGGATACTGGCACTACGCATTCTAATTTATTCAGTGATTTTATGCTTTGGAAATATTTCAATCAAGGTTGAGTAAAATACTTATATTTTCATCTCTTTCTTTTGGGGGAGTTTCTTTTTTTCAGTAGACTTTTTAAATCTCTTAACATTATATACCAACATGATGAAAATTATTTTTTCCCAAATAGTCAATATTTCCCACAGCATCACAAAATAGTAACTATTTTCATTAGTCTGTGATGTCTCTTTTCTTATCTAAGTGTTCATACATACAAAGGTCCATTTTAGAGTTATACTCTAGACTGTTATTTGTCTGACAATTTATATTACCTTAGTTGTTGTAGTTTCATATGTTTTAGTGTAGGACTGTAGGGCAAGTCCCCTACCATACTTTGCTTTCTATTGCCAACACTTTGTTATTTTTATCTATTTTATTTGATTGTTTTGTGATGATAAGTCAAAGCACAAATTACTTGGTAGACATATAGTTATAGGAAAGTGAGAATACAAGTGGCTCTGTAGTAAAATGTTTCTTAGAAAAAGGAGCAAAGAACCTGAAGGACTAGAGCCTACTCCTTTTTCCCCATTTACTTCTATTGGTACGTTTATTTTCCCAAATTGTTTAAAAAATAATAATGGTTATGATGAAAGATAAGAACAATAGAAAAAAGATCCTTTGTTAGTACTTTGATATATTTTCTTTTAATTTTTTTAAAAAAGATGGATTTTTTTTTTTCCTTTTAAAATTTAAAAATTTTCAATATACAGCTGGGTACAGTGGCGCATGCCTGTAATCTCAGTGGTTTGGGAGGCTGGGACTTCAAAGCCAGCCTCAGCAAAAGCAAGGCATTAGCATGAGTTGCTTAGTGAGACCCTGTCGCTAAATAAAACACAAAATAGGGCTGGGGATGTGGCTCAGTGGTTGAGTGCCCCAGAGTTCAATCCCCAATACCAACAAAAAAAAAACCAAAATTATATAATAATTTCCAAAATTTCAAGTTTCAATAATTAAATTTCTTTTTTCTTATTATTAATTGTAGAGGCAGACATTATGCTTGCATGTGTAGCAAACTCCAATTTCCCATTCTGCAATATTATCTGGATATATAAGTGGTGAGTTTGAAATGATTTGCATGGATTTTTTTTTTATACTAAGACTTTTTTTTATACCTTTGTTTATATATATACAAACAAATATATATGATTTTTACGTGGTGCCAGGGATTGAACCCAGTGCCTCATGTATATTAGGCAAGCACTTTACCACTGTGCCATAACTGTGAAATTGAGCAGGAGATGGTTTCCCCAAGCTCAATCATATGATCAGCATGTAGAGAAGTAAGGAAGTAAGTCTAGAACCCTCCTTGCTAGACAGTAGAAAGGATCATTCCAAGTCAATTACCTTTCTTACCTAAAGATTTAGCTTCTTTGTACCACAAAGGAAGAGAAGGAATGAACAGTTAGCAGGTGCCTGTTTTGCTGCTTACCGCTGCACAATTCTAGGTTACCTTTAACTAACTGGATTTCAACTTACTAATTTCTAAGAACGTTACAGATGTATTTTTAAAATTCCTCATGAACTATCTAAGATGTCAAGTTTTGGTATGGCATGCAGGTTACTCTGAGCCTGCTTCACTGAGATTTTTGGCATTTGGATACCCAGAGGCTTCAGAGACCTGGCCACTTCCTGTGCTTTTCTAATTTAGCCCTGTTCCTGGTTCCTTGACCCATGAATAGCATTCACACTAGAAAAAACAAGTTTTGAGGCCTGGGGAAAAATGGTTATTTTTCAGTGACTTAAAAAATCAGGTCCTCAGGGCTGGGATTGTGGTTCAGCGGTAGAGCACTGTCCAGCACATGTGAGTGAGGCTCTGGGTTCAATCATCAGCACCACATAAAAAATAAATAAACAAAATAAAGGTATTGAGTCCAACTACTTCTAAAAAATAAATATATAAAAAAATTAGGTCCTTTAATTCTGTCTAGATCCTTCCCTTTAGAATCTAAATGGTTCTCTCCTTAGAATATGTAAATTACATGGCTCTGGAAATATTTGAAAATAAAAAAGTTAACATTCAAAATGCACTAATCTTTAGGAATATATTAACAGGCATTCTGCCTGAAAATGATTTTTAGAGACACTCTGCCACCAAAATAAAATTAAAAAAATTTTTTTGAATACATCTACTGAAGTACTAGAAACAAATATGATAAAGAACCCATCTGGCAGAGGTTTTTTCCTAGTCATATGTGCAATAACAACTTTTTAAAAAACAGGCAGCCAGGGGCTGGGGTTATGGCTCAGCAGTAGAGCACTCGCCTTGCACATGCAAGGCCCTGGGTTCAATCCTCAGCACCATACAAAAATAAATTAAAAAAAAAAAAAATAAAATGTATATATAAAAACAAATAAACAAACAAAACAGGCACCCAAATCTGGGCTAGTAGGGGCAGATAAAATGAAATGATAAAGTCAGTTTGGCACACTATCTGTAGATTAGTTCTATGGCTCTACTAAAGATTTAGTATATGTAACTTTGGGGAATCAATTTTACCATCATAGATTTGTTGAAGTTAAATTACATTTTTTTTCCCTCTAAAAAATTTATTCAGAAATTGTCCAATCTACATTGTTAAATGATGTATGAGGTCTACCATGTATTTGTGTTTGAAGATAACCAGTCTCTGATTTTGAACATAAACAATTAATAAAAGAATGATCACCATAGCCTTATTATGCAAAAATTAACATTTCAAGTCAACCAACACCAGTACTTCTGTAACTGGAAAACCATTCTGGAGAAAAGGACTTAACTGCATTTTAGTACCTTGGGTCTTTTTCTGTGTAAAAACGTTCATTACGTTTGTTATCACCAAAAGTGGCTCGATATACATCATGACAGCGAAGATTCCTCTGGAAGGTGTAGAATAAAACATCTTCATCTTCTTCGTCCTTCACCCATTCTGAAAGAAAGTAATTAAAAGAATAAGATGTAGTTACCTACATACAGGAAAAAAGAAAATACAAAAAGCATGGTCCATTCTAGTTTTGAGTGCCAAAGAGAAAAGATGTGCAAGTATATATCCCTAGAAATCAAAATAGAACATAGGCTTGACTGTACCAGCCTGTGTTATATATGAGCCTGAGTGTTTTCCAGAAAATAAAACACTACTCTATTGATTTTAAGTTTTCAAGTAGTTTAGATTCATGCTACTTAAGTTTCTAAATAAGATCTAATGTTCAACATTTAGGAAAGAGACCGATAAAATCACATTTGCTTTCAGAGATGAATTATGTTTAAATTTATAATTTTAAGTCTGAAGAAATATTGGATCACTTTATGACATGCCTCAATCTCTTCTGTGTTGTTTCAAGCCTTAGAACATCTCCAACTATTAAATACATTTGAATGATGGTTCTTCAGAACCTGTCAATGGAAGTCTGCACACAATTACATCATGATTGCCACCTGGCTGATAGTGATTATAATAAGACATCATATATTATGCATCCTGATTTCAGAGGTTAAAATACACAAAATATATGTTTTAGAATCCATGTCATAGGGTATAATATCAATTCACCGCAAAGTCATTTAGTAAAACAACGGGGAAAATGAAGGCAATGAAAAGGGAGGACAAAGTATCAATATATCTACCACTAAACTAAAAGATGATTTTATTATTAAAAATGTCACAGCTTCCACTTATAAATCAGTTAGTTCAACATGTTCCAAAGCTCCTTAGTGGTGACTTTGGCCATCTGCTGCAATACTATTGCTTTATGAGACAACATAAAATTAAAAAAAAAAAAAAAAAAAAAAAAGAAATCCACACATAAAGTTGAATAAAATGTTAAAATGCAAAGATTTATTCTACATAATAAACTGGCAAAGAATTATTAATATATCAAAATATACTATACAACTAGGACTTTGACTGTAACTCTTAAAAATATGAGCATAGGGGTTGTGGCTGTGGCTCAGCAGTAGAGCGCTCACCTAGCTCATGGATTTCCTATGGACACAGGGACACACACACACACACACACACACACACACACACACACACACGGTTAAAAAGCATGGTCAGTTCTCTCACTTTTGCCTTTTCAACCCAGACCATTTGGTTGGTGGCTTACCAAAACTGGACACATTTGGGAAAGAAGCTTCCATTACTGGCTGATCACTAAGCTTCACAACTACACAGGTGGATGCTTCAGAATCCTCTGTCCTTATCTTGGCAGCTACATATTTCTCATCCGGAGCAACTCTGATACAATCAATGAAGGGCTGGTCTAATTTCAGTTCCTCCAAATTGAATAAAACTTCATAATTATCATTGTCTGCTGTATAAAGAAAAGTATGAAAGAGATAACTACAAGATGTACTTTAATAGAATTTTAAACTGTATTTTAACTTTTTAAATTAACATTTCCTTTTTGAAAATTAAAAAAAATTTTTTTTAGTTGTTGATGAACCTTTATTTTATTTATTTATATGCAGTCCTGAGACTCAAACCAGTGCCTCACACATGCTAGGCAAGCGCTCTACCACTGAGATACAACGCCAGCCCTATTTTTTTTAACCATTTCCCTTGTTTAAGAGGCCATATTCTAGTTTCCTTCAACAATGATGACAGTCTGACTGATACATAAACTAGCATTGGTTATTTTATAATACCTTGTGCTACTGACAATTATTCTATGTATCAACCTAGTAATTAGAGACCATATAGAATTTGGAGAGTTAGACAATGCAAATCTAGTATAGAATCTGTCCATAGTACATAGTCAAAAAATGCTGGAACCCATCCCCATTCATTCTGCCAAAGCTTTTGAGTATAGCTGTTAACAATATCCTAAGAAAACCCAAAATTAAAAACTAGTTATTTAAAAAAAATTCAGAAGTAATCTTTAAAAATTATTTTTTATACCTTTGAGAAATTAAACTTACTATAAAAATATAAAATCTGAAAAATCAGAACACATTAATGGGAAAAAAATGTGCTGTACCTTCTTCATCTTTGGAACGTACCAAGCAGCAACCTTCCTGGTAATAAACAAAACCACCATGTTTCACCTGACAATGAAAAGAAACAAATGTTTTACTTAATAACAATTTAATTAACCTTTTAATGTTCTTTTTATCCAAGATGAAGTTAAAAAAAGCAGATCTGTTGAAGTACATAAGTGAACAGATATGAAATTGAAAATGGATCACTTTTTACAATATACTTGGTAAGATATGATTTTCATATATGTTCAGAATCACTGAAGGGGTTTCTAATACTTAAATATAAGAGGAAATGCAAGGCATATAACAAAATCTGTTGGTTCTCATGTTTGTATAAATATTTTAGCTTTTGAAACATCTGGTATCTTCATGGTAGGATTCAATTAATGAAAATCAAATGGCTTCTTCAAAATAATCCAAAATGATGCAGATGAGAAAACTATCTTGGATTAGCTTGAAAACCCAGCTGATAACTTTCTGAGGTTCTTCCCTTTAAAATATGCAGTTCTTCCCTTTAAAATATCACCGATTGTGCAGTGTTGACTTGATTTTATAGAATATCTTGTCCTCTGTGGGGGTGATAGAGTCTAAGACTGAAAAAATAAATACTACTAACATGAACACTATTCCTACATAGTAAGTGCAATTTATTGATATGATTTCAGATGGCTTCACATTGTCTGCTAGTTAATGGCATAATCTGAGTCAGAAATTTCTACAGCTATTCTACAACATATGTTATTTTCATTTATAATCTGTGACTGTTTTCAGTCAAACTGAAAAAATTTCAACCTCTTGTTCAGTCTATTTCATTTGTATATTTGTGATTGCTAACCATAAAGTGGTTAGCTTTCATAGAACTATATTAAAGTGAATATCCTTTTGTTAAAAAAAAAAACAGAGCAAGCAAATACTTTCCGAATAATAAATAGGAATTAGTATCATTTGAACTTTCTTTTGAATCTTTTAAAAGTTTTAAATCAGAATTGGTTGCTCCCCCAAAAGCAGAATACATTACATTTCAAAATTTATCTTAGTTTTGATATTTAAATTCATTTTAAGGATCACACTCTACTTACTTACTTTTTGTTCTTTAAATTTTCAGCATATTTTGAAGTCCAAAAGTGGTATAATTTTGACATAAGGTTATGTCTATATCACAAAATATCTCATTTGCAACTTAACTGGTTATATCAGAGTTTTCTTAAAAAGTATGAAATATCCTACCTCTGCATTGATGATTTCATATTCTTCTTGTGGTTGTGTTTCTAATTTTGTTCTCACTTTTTCAAATGCATCCATGTTTTCTGAAAGGGATTTTTCGTTTTCTTGTTTAATAGGCAGACGATCCTAGAAAAAGTTTTATTGGTATGATCAAAATATTTCAAATTAGAGGGAAGAAACCCTTTCTTTTAAAAGAGAATCCTTGTTTCTTTTTTCACGCAAGTATCACAATGTTAGGTCCATACTTATGAAATAATGTGTTTTACTGGTCTATACATAAGAAATAACATGTTTCACAGATCTTAAACATTCTTCCTTAAGCTCATCAATAAAAAGATCTTTTTCATTTAAAAATGTCAACAAAATAAGACAGACAATAGTTATACTGTTATTTTAAATGGATAAGTACTTCAGATACAGAACTAAGAAGTTCTGGAGAATGTTCTGAAGTATTAGGAGAAAGTCATATACAATTAAAGAGGAAAGAAAATTTTTATGAACTTTTACATGTGTAATAGCAATGAGAAGAAAAAAAGTTTGCTGAATTTTTTAAGTACCGAAATAACTCTTAAATAGAGGGAAATATATCAAAAGAAAAAGGAAGACAAAAACACTAACCTGGGCTGGAAATATAGCTCAGTGGTAGAGCATTTGTTTAGTATGCATGAAGCCCCAAGTCAGTTCCCTGGCACTGAAAAAATTATGGTAAAATTAATGGAAAGCTGGGGATCATGGTGCACACCTCTAATCTCAGTGACTTTGACTAAGGAGACAGAGGCAGGAGGATATCAAGTTCAAGGTCATCCTGGGCAACTTAGCTATGTGCTTTCTCAAAATAAAAAATAGGGCTAGGGATATAGCTCAGTGGTAGAGCACCCTGGGTTCAATTCCCAATACTGCAAAAAACAGAAACAAAAACAGTAAAAGACAAATTAATGAATATGCTAGAAATAGAAGAAAGCTACAAAAGCATTCAGTGTGTCTTGCTGGGAGTACCTAATTAAACCAAGAGCTTTAGTTGATCTCAGTAAGCAAATAAATAACGTAAGTCATTAAAATTTGGATAAGGCAAAACCTAAATTATCAAATTAAAAAAATATTTTATTATTCAACATGTCTCCAGTTTGTTTTGTTTAAGCCAAAGAATTCTAGCCAAGATTTCTGACTTCAGCTCTCTGTCAAAGATGACAAGTGTATAGTGATTTGTGCCAGAGGAGGCACCAGTCTTTGGTAAGGCCCTCCAACAGCTGGTACATATTTACTGCACAAGTACATCCGTGATACTTTATGAACACTGTCAAGAAGTAAGCTATAAATATAGTTTGTATTACAATAATTTGTAATCTAAAATTAAACATAAGAATAAAACAGAAAAGTCACCAAAGCAGATTAAATGGAAAATAGTCATTTTCATTAAGTATTTCCTTTTATATTTTTTGGAATGCCTTAATGATATGGATTAGATTCAAAATTTCAATAATGGCTGTTATAGTAGTCAATCTATAATCTTTAACCTCTACTTCCAATCATACCATTAATTTTTTGAGTAATTATCTTAAGTACAAATGCCAGATGGCTTATTTTTCATTTATTTATTTTTTTTAGGATTTCTATAGTATCTATGGCTAATCTTTGAAGTAGTGAGGCAAAATATATCAATAATACCCTAATATCACCCAAAGAAACATTAAATCATTAATCAGAAGATTATGAAAAACCTGTCCTGAAACTAGCATAGCAATAGATTGAGTTGCCTTTTCAATTTCAGACACAGGCTTTTCTATTCTGTAATTCCTATGAGTTATTATGAAAGAGGAAGGATAGCTACAAAATGACCTCCCCTATTATCCTGCATCTTCTACCAAATTCTGGGTCATGGAGCTGGGTTTCATTACTTTACAGACCCATTCTTACCAAGAACCATGGCCAAAACAGAGCTAAAAGCAACAGAGTTGGGCTCAATATCTGTCCTCTTAAATTTACATTCCTGTTTAAGAGCAATTGTTAAAGAAAGAAAAGCACTTGTTCCCTATATTCAATGCCTCCAATTCCTCTCCATTTGCCCTTCTTACTCTGACTGCTCTTGTCAAGGTCACTGAATGGCCACACTGAAGACTGTAAAAGTCAATCTTCAGTACTCACATTATATTCATATTACTTGGCCTGTCAGCATGAAGACACCATTGACCACTTCCTCTTTCTAAAACACTCCTTTACTTGGCTTCCAAGACACCTTCCCTTTTACTTCACTGGTCCTTGTCAGTCTCCTTAGCTGGTTCCAACTCAACTCCTTGCCTTAAAATTGGCATGCTTAAGGCTCAGTTCCTGGATGACTTCTCTTTACACTAATTCCTTTGATGATCTCATCCAGTCATGACTTTAAATGCTATTTATAGCCTGAGGACTCCCAAATTTATAGCTGTGTCTAAGCTTATTCCTGGAACAAGCTGAACTTGTATATCCAACTGACTATTCAACATTTTTACTTGGATATCTAACAGGTATGTAAAAAAACATTGAAAATTGAACTTAGAAATCCTTATATATCCCCTCCCCACCAAAAGAACCCCTGTTGTCTAGGCAGTCAAATGACAAATATCTGGCTGGAGTTGTGGCTCAGTGGTAGAGCACTTGCCTTGCACATGTGAGACGCTGGGTTTGATCCTCAGCACCACATACAAATAAATAAAATAAAGGTATTGTGTTCAACTCAAAATCCGTCCTTCTAGCTGCTCATGCTTTAAAGTCTTAGTTTGCCTTTGCCTTCTCTCTTCCCATAACTAAGTGATCTGCTAAATCCTGTCAATTCTACGTTCAAGGTCTAAATCTGACTATTTCTTCTTCTAAATCTATTTCTTCTAACTTGTACTGGCACTATCCTGGTACTATCATCATCTCTTCTTTGGATTACGCAAAGTTAACTCTCTGCTTTTGCCCATGCCTCCCAGGCTATTTTCAAAAAGGAACTCAAATGAGTATAAAATGAGGTTTTCTACTTAAAACCTTTCCAATGCTTCCCACCCTACTAAGAAGATACACAAGAATCCTTACAATGGTCTACTTTGCTGACCTTGGCTACTGTAAGTTGAGTATCCCTTATCCAAAATGCTTGTGATCCAAAGTGTTTTGGATTTCATAGTTTTTCAGATTTTGAAATATTTTCAGATTTTACCAGCTAAACATCCCTAATCTTAAAATCTTAAATGCTCCAAAAGATTTTTAAGTATTAAAATTTCCAGGATAGGGATGCTCAACCCCTATTACATATCAGTTGTATCCACTTGACTCCAAATGGGCCACAAAGGCTCCTTGATGTTTCCTGCACACACCAGGCTTGTTCCACCTCATTTTCTAAGGATTTGCTGTGCCCTTTGGCCAAACACCTCTTTTAGCTATTACTCAAAAGCCACTTTCTCAACTAGGCCTTCCCTGTTCTAATAAAAAAATCAACCCTCCCTATCCCCCCACTGTCTTATTTTTCACTGTACCTATTACCTCTGATAAACTTTGTATTTCACTCATATATTTCTTTACTATCTCCTTGTACCCTCATCCCCTTGTAGGCTCCATGAAGGCAGAGTTTTTGTTTATTTTGTTCACTGCTATATCCTCAAGGTCCAGAATGGTGCACATTAGGTGTTCAATAAATATGCGCTGAGTTGAATGGAACACAGCGCAAAACATAAAATTTAAACCTTATTTAACAAAAAAATATAAAGTGAAAATACAGAATAGATATAGAAAAGATATCTACAGCTCACAGAAAAGACAAAGAACATATAAAGAACAGTTACGAATCAGTAAGAAAAAGACAAACAACAGAAAAAATGGTCAAAGGCACGAATAAGTAATTCAAGAACATAAAACCAGCTGGGTGGTGGCACATGCCTGTAATCCCAGCAGCCCAGGAGTCTGAGACAGAAGAATCATCAGTTCAAAGCCAGTCTCAGCAATGGTGAGGCACTAGGGCAACTCAGTGAGACCCTGTCCCTAAATAAAATAAAAAATAGGGTTGGCTCAGTGGTCAAGTGCCCTGAGTTCAATCCCGGGTATCAAAATAAAGCAAAAATCATAAAACCAATAATAACCTTAATAAATGTTAAGAAGAAAAATGCTAACCTCATTATTAATCAGGGCAATGAAAATTAAACCACATTGATATATTAGTTATCTGTAAGAAGGGCAAAAAAGAAAGATCTCATAATATCAAAAATTTATCCAGTACACAGAGTTAGAACTCTCAAACATTTTACTTTGAATGTATGTTGGTACTATCAATTTGGAAATTAGCTTGACCAAAAATGTTAGAATGTGTACATAATCAGGAATTCCAATTCTAAGTATATTTTCTAGAGAAAGAAACACACATGCACAAGGTGATACACATAAGACTGTGATTTGCAGGATTTTTTGCTAAGTTTGGAAATTGGAAACAACCTACACCCACCCCCTGCCAAAGAATTATGGTATACAAACAACACAATCAAATACTATATAAAATTTGTAATGAATAATCTCAAAATCATAATGTTGAGCAAAGGAGCAAATTATATAATCCTACATATATTACTCAAATAAAATTTAAAAACATGTAAAACAATTTAAGTATTATCTGTGGATGCAAACACATGTGTAATTTATATGAAAACATGCATGGAAAGATTAAGAATAATGTTCACCATTGGGGAGGTAAAAGAACATGATCATGAAAGTAGACAGTAGTCTTCAAATTATATTTTTTGTAGTTAAGAAAAGTCATACTGAGTAGTGGATACATAGGATTTGTTGTGATATTTTCTATGATACTCTATGTTTGCAACTGTTTATACTAAAAGGTATTAAAAAGGAATGATACTATGAATCAGATTAATTCAAGTCTAGTGAGACTACTAATTTTCTCACTTAATTTCAGACTCTTAGAAGTTTCAGTTTCTTTTTTTTGTTTTTAATTTAGGGGAAAAAAAAACTACCCCAAACTCCCGACTTCCTAATTTGAAAACTTACACTAATTGGGATAGAACTGAAGAGTCCAGAAACACACTCATAGGTCAGCTGCTTTTTTTTTTTTTTTTTTTTTTTTTGGTGGTGCTAGAGATTGAACCCATGCCTAGAGCATGCTAGGCAAG